CATATATTTAAATATAATAATAGTATATAATAATAATAATAATAATTATTATTATTATTATGTAGTCTCGCCACAAAATTTTTTGCATAAAATTGCAAATTGCATTTGTTTATTTTGCTACATTTGTATATTATTATTAGTAGTAGTACAGTAGTATTGTTTTATTAGTAGTAGTATTTAATAAATAAATACATACATACATACACATACATACACACATATATAAATAAATACTCATTTAAAAATGTGCAAAAATTTGCCTGGGCCAGCAAGGGTATAACTCATGTATACTCATATTTTAAAATATTTTCTATTTTCACATTCATTCAAGCTTTTAGTAATTTTGTTGTGTGTTTTTGTCACTTTTTAAAAAATGTCTATATAGTTTTTATTTCCTTTTTCTTTATTAGCTTTAGTTATGTAGTTTGTTAAATGTCATTTAGTACAGTGAAAAGTATAGCCTTGGCTATAAAAGTTAAAAGTTTATGTATATATAATTTTTATTCAGTTGATGATTATTTAGTTTCAAGTATTGTTTTTTTATGATTTTAGATTTATTTAACAATAATCTGAACTCTTATGTTTCTTTTACAAATGATTTGTGGTAGCCTAATGGTAATGGCAGAATCCACTTATTATTCAAGTGACCAACAATTGTCGTTTCCATTTTTCCATTTGCATCCAATGATAGATCGTATTAGTTATAATGAGCATTTAATCTCTAAAGACATCCAATCCGTTCATCCAGTTTGATGGAGCGTTTGTCATGTGTTAGTCAGTGAGCCCATCCCGCAGGGGGTCCATACAGCCAAGCAAAAAACTTCACAGTCCAACTTCACAGTTTTTTATCATCTTATTCATCGCATGTCTTTTTTTCTCGACAATTCATTTCATATGCATCAAAGTCTGTGTATGTGCTCAGTTCTGTCACTGTGATGTCAACTGTTGTGTGTTTGCTTCTTGTGCATCTCTGAACCACACTAGACACTTATTTCTCTCTTAAACCGTCAAATGACACAAAAAACCAAGCTAGTGGAAAATCAGACCATGAGGCATGATTCTATATGCTCATCATGTATGATTTATCCACACACTGTTCTTGTTGAGGCATGTGTCCTTCAGCTTTGTTTGTGCTCTCTGGCGTCCACTAAGGATCAGGTAAACAGACAAAGAGAGAGAGACAGACGGTTAGAGATTTCAGCAGCGCAGCTTTTCTTAAGCGTTCCTGTTAGCACTGAGGCACGGGCTGCTATCGATTAGAATATGAAAACCTAGAGGCCTGCATATGAGATCGGGGATGAGCAGGCAGCGGAGAGCAGTTGAACAGACAGGTTGCACACACAGCATGCACACACACGAGCAGTGGCACAGGAAGTTGCTGATTAGGTTTGACCCGGTGTCAAGCAAAAAAAAGAGTGCCAAAGAATGCTGTGCAAAATCACACAAAGAGAAGGGGGAAAAATCAATGACTGACAAACAAGCGCCTTTAGTTTACTGCCATGGAATGATGAGGCTGTGGAAATAATACCCTCATCATCGACTCTACTGTGTTGCGTGTGTGTGTGTGTGTGTGTGTGTGTGTGTGTGTGTTGGGTGCTGTATGCTGTATTTAAAGCATAGAGCTCCATATGTGTGTGCAGTGCAGTTGATTTTGCCTATTCCAAGGGGTTTTGAAGCTAATGAAACTCATAATTCTGACTCCACAATTTAATAGGATAAGAAGCATTCAAAGATATTGTGAAATGCTAATAAACTCATACCTGTGCGCTTTCTGTATTAATGCACAAGGTGATGTTGCTTAGCAACTACAAACTGCCTACAATTAGACTAATGAACACTCAGCGGAAAACTTTTAAATTTAAATTATTAATGCTAATCATTTATTTCACCTCACGTTGTGTCTAAGAAGGTCATTTGTAGAGTGTGGAGCTTTTTGTTGAGCTGTGTGTGCACAAATTCTTTGTCGGACAGCTGATTGCTTCAATTTGTTATCGTTGTTTATTATGGCTGAATTGATTCACTAGCATGAGAGTACTCCTCCACCTCTTTTTTTTCTCACTGAAATAACAAATTCTTCATTGTGTTTATGAGTTGATTTGTTTGTGCACTGGAACAATAGCGAAGATAACACTTCCCATCCTGCTATTTCAACAGCGGTTTCATCTCGCCTTTCTGCTCTCAGCATTAATTGACAGCTGCACTGGATTATGTGTCATGTTCAACTTCTTCATCTGCTCGCACAAATCATTACACACGAGAGAACGGGTCAATCTATGTTTGATCTCCTCACATGTGTATGTGTGTGTGTGTGTGTGAAGCAGGTGGTAAGGAGTGCTGATGGAGCAGGTTGGCATGAAAACACATAAAGAACTTTGGTTATCACAGAGAGAGAGGACGAATGGAAGCGGGATGAGAGGCGAAGAGATAGAGGAAATGAATTTTAAAAAAGCTGCTAAACCAGGATTACACAGTGCCCTCTGCATACTCGCTTCCCTCAGTCCATTCAGCAGCTGAATTCCTCACCATAAAAGGCTTGTGTGCTTCAAACCGTCTGAAGCTTTATAGTATTATCAGTAGCACTTTACTTGAAGTGATTTTAGTGCTGTTGTACTGAACTTAACTGAATCTGTACTGTACTTGTATGAAAGTAATATCACACTCACAATCGTGCTGTAGTACTAAATATTATCTACTGCCAAATCCCAGACATTTCTTGCTCATATATTGTTTAAAAAGGCACACTTGTTATATTACAGTTGTAATAATACACCTTTTAATCAGCTGAATGTTCACATGAATAATTTCAGCTACTATCGAATACATTTTAAAGGTGTAAAAGTTGCACCTTTAAAATGTATAATGTGTTAAAACACAATTAACACCCCATTGATTTTGTAATATTATATAATGCATTATACTTTATAATAATATAACCATGAATATGTATGCAGTTATAATTTATTATAACTATGGTTACAATTATTTCTGAAAAGATTTAATGCAAAAACTGTGTTTAAATGCCAAACGATTACTAATACTAACACGTAATCTCATGATACTGATAGTTTGGGGGTTTTGCTTATTTTTTAGTGACTTATTTTTAAACCCTGATAATTAATTACAAAATTATAAAGAAATTAAAATAACCATGTTTCCACATTTATTTAGCTGACTTATATACATTATAACACACTTTCTCCATGAAATTACAATTTTTATATGATTGACAAATGTAAATTTTAATTGCCCCTAAATTCAGTTCTAAACATACAAACTCAAACAAAAAAATCAACAATATATTAAGGTAAAACAGTTAATTCAATAAATAGTTGTCAACATTGCAGTTACATCTGCTGTGATTAATTGATTGTGAAAGTTGTTTTTCAGCGGTTGAGCACTGTGACCAATCACAGCCGTGTCTGTTGTGTAATGAATGCAGTGGTGAATCAGAGGCCATTTAATGTGTATCTTTATATCAGTGTTCAGCCAAGAGTGAACACTTTATTGCTTTAGTCAGTTGGTCTGAGCACAGTAGATTCAACACACACACACACACACACACACACACACACACACACACACACACACACACACACACACAGTGGTGTATCAGTGGCAGAGTGGCAGGTTAATGGCACTTAATTTGTTGGTTGGGATGGGCAGGCTGGCTGGTGTGAGCCCTTCTCCCAGAGGATCTGCCTGTAATTGTGTTTCATATCTTAAATATATAAATAAAGCTTGCAATAATTACAAAATAATAATTCTCCCCTGCTCTTTCAGCATCTCTGTTTCTTTTTCTCTCACTATCATTCACACACACACACACACACACACACACACACACACACACTGGTTTTTCATCTGCGTGTCCTTTGCCTTTCTCCATTTCTCTTTCACAGTGCAGTGTAATGTAAAGAATCGAAGGTAATTAGAAGGCTGTGTCCAGGACTCCAAAGCCACACGCCAAGGAAGCAGAGGTGACTTTGCTCACTGTCTCATGAGTGTGTCCAGACCCCTGACTGGGAGCTGAGAGCCAGTCAGTTGAATTACTATTCACTCATTGCTCTCACCCTTTGCCTTTGACTGCTCCCAGATCAGGGATCCTTGACCATGTCTGATAAGCTGTTATTATATGCTAAGTGGAGGCACTGAGCCCAGGTCAGTTCTTTGTCCTGGTTTGGGAAGGTGATTATGTGTGAGATCGGCTCCAGATACTGTAGATATGAGTGGAGAAAAGAGCAAGGCTTTTTCACATAACAAGACTGTGAAAATGTAAACAAGATGCAAACATTTTCAGATGAATAGCATGAAATATGAGCTTTTCTCTCACTATGCATCAGGCTGCTTTACTACAGAATATCACTTTGTTAGCTGAAATTTTTTTTTTAATTTCAAGTCCTTTTGAAGTCTTTACTCATGTTCTTGCCTTAATATTTTAAGTGTGTGTGTGTGTGCCCATACCAGCGTCCATTTCTTAATGGCTGATTTGATGGTAAATTAATCTAAGATGGAGATAAAGTGAATTTGGCAGCCAATGAAAGCAAGTGTGTGTTTTTGTGTGTGTGAGAGAGTGGTTTCCTCGGCCTCACAACTCACCAATGCTATGGCCTTAAAGACAATCGTGGGCTCTGTGGAGAACATTTGCAACTTCCATGCGACCACAGCTAGTGGAGCAGAAACATCACAAACAGAATGCTTAAGCTGCAAACCATCATTCTTTGCTGTTTTTGTTTGGTAGCAGTTGATGTTTTTGGTTCACGCTGCTTGCGTTTATGTTAATGCATGCATTTGATACAGCTTCATGATCATGTGATTTGGTTTTGATTTGCAAGAAGAAAATCACTCAAACTTGATTTTTAAAAAGAAGAAAAAAAATATTTACTTTTTCTTATTTACAGTAATGCAATTTTTAATGTAGCTGCTCTATGTTTGTTCTTTTCATTTGCGGTTATTAGTTTTTTTTATTTTCCTTTGGTTTAAATTGGTTTTCTTTTGTTTAGGTTCTCCCATGCCATCCTCTCTCTCCAGTCCATCAGTCACTGAGCATTCCCATTCTCAACCACCCTCACCCAATCTCCATGACAACCAGAGTTCCGTCTTAAGTAATGCCACCACGCAGGCAGCGCAGGACTCTGATTCGGAAGAGGAGTACCCGGCCGCTCTCTATAGACCCGTAACGCAGCCTGCCCTCAGCCACAGCTGTAATGGTAAGGTAACCCTCTCTCTCTCTCTCTCTCTCTCTCTCGCTCTGTCCTGCTAGGTCTGTGAAGTAAGAAAAGCGTGAAGGCTGTGTGTTCCCAGTAAAAACCACTGGAGTGAACTGTATGCAGGTTTTGTCGGAAATTTTATTAGAGAATGTCACATCCAATCAGTGGTGTTCAATTTCTGAGTAGATTGGGGGGGTTAACTGATTTTGTGTATAAAATGGTCATGGACCTCATATTGCACTTGAAAACCAATTTTACATGCTCAAAATCATTTTCAACTGAGAAGGGTTATTTAGTTTTGACTGAACTTTCAATTAAGTTGTAGGAATAGTTCACCCACAAATGAAAATTCTGTCATTGTTTACTCACTGCAGGGTTATTATAGATAACTAATAGTTATCCAAAGTATAAATAATAACCAAAGTAAAGTATAACCAAAAAAATGTTTCTTAAAATAAAATAAATGTTGACTGAAAAATAAAATATATATAAAAAAAAACTACAATTATTTTATTTGATCTAATTTCCAACATTTCTGTTCAGATTTTACTGAAACTGCTCCTGTTATTCAACGATTAAGAATTGAAAACAGACCGAATAAATATTTTTACATTTCTCTCTGATTCACTGTCACACAAAGTTCATCATAAAACACACAAAACCCATAAAATATTACAAAGTACATCAGTGGTTCTATGAAGAACCTTAAACATCCATGGAACCTTTCAAATACAGAAAATGTTCTTTATAGTCGAAAAAGGCTCTTTAGATTTCTAAAATGTTCTTAAAAATTTTTATTTTAGGAACTGTTCACTGAAAGGTTCTTTGGGGAACCAAAAATGGTTCTTCTTATGGCATCACTGCAAAAACACCCTTTTGGAAGCTTTATTTTTAAGAGTGAAGGTCCGTGGTAAATTACACACAACCATACTGAAAATGCTCATTTTGAAGCAGTTATGTTACTTTTTAAAAACATATGTTTCTAATAAGGAACTACATAAGAACGTTTGGCGTGTGAGTGTGTGCAGTTTACGTTCACAACAAAACGTCCAAGTCAAATTCTGTTTACCACAGACCTTATTTTACTCATGAATTGACCCCATGATGAATAGGTCTTGGGTTTTGATATCATTGCTGCAGCACTCGATTAGGATAAAATGATCAGAGTAAACCAATCTGGCATTTGTGAGGGAAATGTTTGGATCAGATCAGAGCCGGACAGTGTCAAATCAGATTCTCATTGTGAGAAGAGCTCATTGGTCTCTGCCAAAGCCACATCTGACTGCCTTTGATACTTCCAGACTTGCTAGATGTTATCAGAGCGTCGGCAGGGAGTTGGGTTGCTGGGGCTGTTAACACTCGCCCGCAGAGAGACACGGCAGAGACTCCCTCTGATTCTCCAATGACTATGTAAATGAAGCGTACGCATGAAAAAACGACTAGTGAGACGCTGGCTTAAGATGATGCTGATGACAGCTGGAGCTCTTAAGGCTCTCAAACAAAGACACAGAGGTCATGGTGCATGAGGACAAGAACACACCAGCAGAGTGTTTGTTTGTTTTAGCGTCTGAAAAGACACAAGATGAAAACAATAACAGGAGGAGGTTCAGAGCATAGCTGCTGGAGAGATGGGAAGGGAGCACATAAAACAGAATGCAGTCTGAGTAAAAGCACACACATAGTATATGAGGCTTATTTTTTAAAGGGATAGTTCACAATGAATGCAAACTTTATCATAATTTATCTTTAAAAACCCAAATTACTACTTCGCAACATCCAAGCTTTTTTTTCCATACAAAAACATTTATGGTGACTATAGCTGTCAAGTGAGATCTATCTGTTGTTCAACTGTTTATCAATTAAATTGCATATATGTGCTCAATTTGGGCTTCTGTATAAAATGGAGGTGGGTTTTTTTTTTCCTGCTTGAGTGTGAGCTCTATATTCTCCTATATGATACTAATATGAGTAAATATATACACACATTTAGCAGACACTTTTATCCAAAGTGACTTACAAACGAGGACAATAGAAGCAAACAAAAGATACTGCCTAATGCAGTATACATAGCTTTTATTTATTTATTTAATATGTCAGGCTTTATAGGGTTAAAAAAAGTTCTGGTCCATATCTACTTTCATTGTTTGTATGGAAGAAAACAGTGGGGGAATTCTTTAAAAATTCATCTTTTTTGTTCTATGGAAGGAAAAACCCATTTGTTTCGAGTCGGCTATAGTGAGACATTGGCTTTAAAACATAACAAACTACATAGCCGCGGGAACTAGGGGTGCTGAGGGTGGCTGAGGGGCCAGATCTAAGGGGGCTAGGGGGCAATGCCATACAGATTCTCCTTGTGCCCATCCAGATTCTTCTTGTGCCCCTCGATCATCCACAGGATACTTAATTTTTGTCCTAGCACACAATATTTAACAAATCTAAATATTAAATTTTTAGAAAAGTTGCATAGGCCTATTAAAATGACTAGAGATATAGAGTGGTTGTAATATTGTTGCACGCCTCGCTACGTGCTTCCCTACAGCTCCCCCTCACTGATATAATTTCATGTAAAATGTTCACGCCATATCGTAATTTTAAATTCTGACTTGTAAAAAGCATTCACGTCCTCGTCCTTTTTATGAGCCATTTTCCGAAGCATTCTCGCTTCTCAAGATGGCCACCGACAATCACATAAGCACAACATAATTGCTCTCTAGTCTCTATAGCACTGCAGCCTAATTTAATCTATTAACTACACACTATGACGTTTTAGGCAATACCATGTTGTGGCATAAAATACTTTAATAAGACTGAATTTGTATCTAACCTGATGTTAATATTTAGTAAAATCCCCTTAAATAATAGAATATTAAAGAAAAAAATATTGAACTAAAATCGCAAAGCCCAAATATATATACATATATATATATATATATATATATATATATATATATATATATATATATATTAGTTCTCACATAACTCTTAATTAATTTGTATGTTCATCTGAAAGAGTTTGGACTGTTTAATATCCGCGGCCCAAACCTGCAACATTAAGCCAGATAAAATAGATCTCACGGCTATGAACTTATAAACACATTTGAAACACATAAATGAATAGTTTTACAATTGCGCTCCACACAATCCAAAACTATCTTCTGTTTGAGCCGCCATTCATTTTAACCAAGCTGGAATCCTGTGTAACCATCAGACCTGTCAAGATCCATTTTCTTCACTCCGTGTTGTTGACATTGGTGTTGATGTAGTTTTACCTCTAAAAGCCTGCCTTAAACAGAAACATTTCATTTGGCTTAGTATTTATCCATAATGAGGATTGTTAGATTTGCTTTATGAGGGGAATGCACAGAGTTACTTCACCATTGTTTATTCAGCGGAATAGCGTGGCAAATTAAATTTAGGGCTCTCCTCAGTATAATTCCTACATTCTGCAGCACATAAGGAAAGCATGTTGTTTTAAGAACACTTTATAGGATATAGGACTTTATGTCTCCGTGCACTGACATCAGGAAAGTTGACCGACTTCAGTTCTGAGCCCAAACAGGACCACACATGTCTAGATGTTTACAGTATGCTGCTTTTAACGAAAATTCACCTTCCATTCATCCATACGACGTGATCCATGCACTAATCAAAAGCAGCTCCAGTGAAAAGAGCTGATCAGTGTCAGGCTAGTCATAATGGATGAGCTTTTATCTGCAGTGAGGGGCTTTCTCGATAACCATCGTGGAAACCCCACGTTTACCGCCAGTAAGTCTTTTAAGCTGACTCGCGTGTGGCTGTCAAGTGGGGATCAGGAAGCACTCCAAGCACTGACGTCTCATCATTTGAAGCAATCATCAATATTTGTAATGAGTGGAGGTGCTGTTGCTGATCGTTGCGGAGACGCAGGGCTGCCCGGCACACTTAGTAGATCAAACTGAAATCAGGGTTGAAAGAGAGAGAGAGGGACAGGCTGAAAAAAAGGCTCCAGCGCACATCCTCAGAGGCCAAGTTTTAATAGTCTGAGAGTAGACAGCAGGTCAGTGCACCGGCTCCTGTCTGCAGCACTCCATATTAAAGACATGAACTCAGGCAGAACAGGAAAGTGGGAGACGCAGAGGAGATGGAGGGAGGAAGGAAGGGGTAAATCGAGTTGGGTCAATGATTTTTATTTATTTTATTATTTTTTGTTTATTTGTTAATTGTTTATTTTTTGCAAGTGACCGTATTAATACCTATTTTTTTAGTTGCTATTTATCTGCACTTCATTCATCTTTATAAATCAGTTTACACTTAATACTTTAAATTGTACACATATGTACACCCAGATTTGTTAGACCATTAATCACACAATTAATTAATTATGTATTGATATATAAGATTTAAGGTGCTATTTACCCAAAGTCACTTCATTGCTCAATGATTGCTTTTTATAAGGTGTTATATTTTAAAGGGGTGGTTGAATGCGATTTCACTTTTTTATGTTAGTTAGTGTGTAATGTTGCTGTTTGATCATAAACAATATCTGCAAAGTTACGAATCTGAAAGTTCAATGCAAACGGAGATATCGTCTTTTAAAATTCTGGCAGTTTAATGCCTACAAAAACGACTGGTAAGGGACTACAACGAGTTACTTCCCAGGTCCGTTACGTCAAGAACCCAGAATTTTACATAAACCCCGCCTCCGGGAACACGCAGCAAAGGGGGCGAGGCCATGCTGCGCTGCTTTAGAGAAGAGGAAGAGAAAACTACAGGTGCATGTAAAAATCTATTCATATATGAATCGCGATTCTGTCTTCTAACGATTCTAATGGATTCACAAGTTTCAAAATCAATGTTCTAAAGCAACGTTCTCATCCTGTTCCTGGCCTCGCCCTGCTCTGCATCTCTCTCTCTCTCTCTCTCTCTCTCTCTCTCTCTCATTCAGATCATCAGCTCAGTGAATACACTTATTTTCACATACTATAGTTATGAGAAACGTTATACATGGACGCGCGGGTGGT